AGCCACCCCCCCGCTCCGCCAATGCTCAGTACTAGTAAAAACGACTCACAAAAAGAAAATTACTGTTTTTATTCGCAGTCATTGCCAACCCCGCCCAATATACAGTGGAAAATATGTTAAATGTCTGCCTCTTATAAACACTGTCAACGAATCTCTCTCTTATTATTTCTTATTTACTTTACATGTATTTACGTTTAAGGAAATCCGAAGTGTGCCCCCCACCCAGAACTGTACACGGTCACGTCATTTTGTGTTATGTTAATCACAGATGTTACGGGGTTTTTTTTATTAGTTCAGTTAGTGGAGGTGAGCAAATAGAGAACGTAAAAGCTAAAAAGCGAAGAAAGCAGGACATAGACGGTTTTTTCAGACAGTAAGGAACTAGATGCCTAAATAAGTAACGTTAGCTTTGTCCCGCTCCGCGGGTCGCGGCATGCTCCGCGCTAGCTGCCCCCATCTTTCCGTTATTGTAAATATTTGTATTGTCCCCGACTTCTGCACGCGCCCTACCCGCTGTCTCACGTGAATGGTGCCCGCTCCTCGCGTCTCTCCGCCGTCTTGCAGACGTACTTACCGTGTGCAGAGCCCACTGTGTGTAATGTGACAACTCGTCTCACGTTGCTTGTTGGTGGGTTGTGAGGTGCGGCAAACTTCTGGCCGTGATTGTGGGTTGGACTAATGTGCTTTTAAGTGGTCTTCATGAAAGAAAACCCTGATTCTGCACGTAAAGTTTAATTTCTTGCTCGCCGGTCCGAACCTTAGATCTGCTGAGTGTCACAGTATATAAGGCAATATTTAACGTTTCCGTTAACTGGTATTAATTAACATTCGAAAGTGTTTTTATACACTTCCTTCCGTGCATAGCTAGCTGGACAGCATGAAGGCAGCATTATGGACTTCTGGAAAGCAAGCCAGTTACCTAAAACGCTTATAAAAACGCCACCAATAACTGAAAAATATCTTTATCTCCCTCTTTTTGCAGTTTTCCTTTAAATGTGAATTCAAATGGTCAATGTAGTCCTCAAAACTGAATGTTCTGAATGTGCAAATTTTAATATGTGAAGATTATAAAATTGTGGAAAACGCAGTTTTAATTTTTTTTGGGGGAGGGCTCACATTTGCCCCGCCCCACATATGTGCACCATAGTTTTGCCCAGGTTTTATTATTATTATGTCACACATATGGCTTACTCTGGTTTTCGTCCATTGTGTAGGTTATCATTCAGGGATATATTATGCTAATAAAAACTAGCTAGGCCTATTTATACAATGTCCAAACATAATGTTTTGACTTCACCAGCTTGAAGGGTGAAGTATCTGCTTTCAAACTGCTCCAATGTTTATGGTCATTTTGAATATTTACAATGATGATGTGGTTGGTACATGGCTTTATATGAAGAAAGAACCACTGAGGATGGGAGGGTATCAAACAGTGCAGTAAAACAAAGGGTTGTGTCTTACCACATGTAGTTGCTAAGTCATTACCAGAGTTCCCCAGTCCATGACATGTAATCAATGTACTAATCGCAATCGCTTTTACGGCACTTGTGCCGGTTTGTGCCATTGAAATTTTTGTTTATCCTGTTTTCATTTCTGATCGAGATATAAATGTTTCTTTACATGGAACCCCCATTCGCGTCCAATTTTGACCAAACTGATCTCAATAGTTTGTGTATGCTGTACAAGTCCATAGATAATAGTACTTAGTATAAGAGCTTTCTGCTGCATGCAAGCATTACTGATGGTAGGAGGCACAGTCTGTGCTGTGCTGTAATTAAACTTGTTTTCTTCAGTTGGATATGACGTTTTTATATGTTTTGTTCAAGACAGGAAAGAAAAGTTAAAGGAAAACACTTTCATTTTTCTTTAGAAATTCTGTCATTTTTACTGAAGGTAAGCATTCCTCAGTAGAAGTAAAAAGTACCAACAAAAAGATAAGTACTATTTTTATTCATGGGCGTAAACACGCAATCACCCACCCTGCCGAAGATACAGTAGAAAATATGTTAAATGTCTGCCTCTTATAAA